GTGTAAATGGAGACTGACATGTCCCATTCACAGTGACATAGGCGGCCTGAGTCAGCACCTGGGTGTGACAGCCTGAGGACCCAGCTGAGCCCCAGATTCAGATTCTGCAGACAGCCACAGCAGGCCCTAGAGGACTCTGGCCACGTGAAACTGGCCACGTGGGCAGCTGGACAAACCTTCCTTCTCTGCAGGCAGATTGTTCCCAGTAGGAACAAGAGCAGAGCTGAGATGAGCATCCCCAGGCTGCCCTCTGGCACAGAGCGTTTTCCACCCGCTCGCGGTGAGTGAGCCACACGAGAAAGACAGAAGAAGGATGTTGGAGCCAAAGAAATATCCTGGAAGGTTTCTTATATGACCATACTCAGTGTCTCAACAGTTAATAGAACACCACGGCGGCTTTGGACTGGCAAGAACACCTAAAGCCCAGAGCCCTTAGACATACAGATTTGTGTACCTTGATGGATCAGGAAACCTGACAATCTAAACGGATAGTGGAAAGCAGAGAATGCGGGCTCTAATCAGAAAAGGAATATTATGAAGATTTGCCATGACCTGACCATGAGTTATAAAAATTGTGATTTTAACATTTACTCATTGCTTTCAAGCATCGTAGTGGGTGTGTGTGTGTGTGTGTGTGTGTGTGTGTGAATACATATATTTTAAACTGATTTGCTATACTTATTTGTCACTTTGCTACTATTTTATATAGGGAATGTTAGTGATAATTAAGTTTAAAATTTAGTTTATGATTTAGTTATATCAAAAAGGATTCTGAGAGAACTCAAGGAAGAATAGCTATCCACTGGAGACTTGGTACTACTGCAGGTGTCAACTTGTAAAATATTAGTTGTCTCTCCTTGTGGGGGGCAAAAGGAGTGGGTAAGAGAGAACAGCAATAGTCTAGGTGTCAGCAACTCTTGTGAACCTCAAGTTTGGAAAGGGGTTGTGGGGTGCTGGGCAGCAGCTGAATCTGTATCACGTTGGCCGTGGGGCACAGGAGATGCAGGCACCTGCCTGTTGGAGAGACCCCTTAGGGCAGGTGAGGAGCCAGGACCCACAACCTGGAGGGACCTTCCTGTTCCCTATACCTTGGCAGTCACAGCAAGTACTCACAGCTAAGTAAGCCAACCAGATCTTTCCTTCTGGGAATTTGCATTTGAAGGATTCTAAAGACATAGGGACATTGAAAGATAACTTGTGATGCTCCCCATGGGGCTGAGACCTATGGCGGTGGGGTCCAGAGTGAACTAGAGAACTGCAGGGGAGTGAGTGACAACGGGACCACAGCTGGCCTTGCCAATAAATATGTTTTCTGCTGAAAGTATTCAGAGTTGGTTTTGGTCTTTTATAATAGAACACAAGGCAGAGAGACGTAGCAATTGAGTCTACCTGGGTGTCATAGATGGGACAGGTCCCAGGAAAGGGTCCACGTAACAAGTTAGGAACTAAGCAACTTGCTAACGCACATAATCAGCATAAATTACTTATTTTAACGCTGGTTACTTGGTTTCAAAATCAGCAGTAGGGCTCAGAGGTTTTTGTTTAAGTAGCCAGATCCTGACAGCAACTTATGATTTATTTGCCTTTATTGCTCTAGAGATATATGAAGAGAAAATAATGGAAGAAAATATGTAAATAAACCTGGCTTTGTTAAAACTGATCAAAAGAGAAAAATGATATTTTCTATGAAAATATATTGTTAACATTTACATGTTTATATTTGATTCTACTTAAATTAGATAAATATTTTGAAAATAAGACATTCACTTAATTTACAATAATACTTGTAAGAATAAAAATCAGTTATAAGACATTTTCTACTAACATGTGAGACCATAATTGAAAATCTTGATTAAAAGGTATCACTTATTTTTCTATGGTATTACTGAATAGCATCTTAAAATCATCTAGGAATTCCCAGAAAATAGCCTTATTAGAAAAAGCCTATTTCTGTTTTACTCCCTCTCTACTTTAAATTATTCATTCTTGCAAAGCATACTTTTACTGCAGTTCATTAATTTTTAGAATCTATAGGTTTGTAGAACTCAATTTCCTTAATCATGCATGTAAAATTATTAGAATTTTTTATCTTGCTGATTTCAGCAAGTGTGTGGAACCACACAACATCGCCTCCAGCGAAACATGTAGCATCTAGCAGAAAAGGGAAAATGATTCTTATTTTTTCTTAAAATGAATTTTCTGTTTCAATAACTTGTATTCAAATCATTAGGGCAAACATATTACTTTATTTTCTTTTGTTCATATTTTCGGCAAAAAAAATATTGGAAATAACATTTGCACCCATTCTAAAATATTTAACTATACTATGAGTGATGTAGTTAAGTTTCCCAGTAACACGGGCCTGCTTTACAGGTAAATGCATTTAAGCTGAAAGCAACTGTAATGAAGTCAAGCCCTTGTGTTACAAGTTTTTCTTTTTCTTTTCCCCACTAAGCACATAATTTAAAAAAAATCTAATATGAAAATGATCACAGAAGCATGGTAACCCAGGACAATAAAATTTTACTTAGATTCAGGTGTAGTACTAACTCCCCTACCCAAAATGCTAATTACATTAAATTCCAGTGTGTGTGATCTGAGAATTTTGGTTTTATTTAGTACTGTTTTCAAAAAGAGGCAACTATCCCTCTGGAACACAAATGTTATAGAGAGAATGTGAACGACAAACCTGCATGAGATGCTTTGCACGAAACCCTCACGTGACACAGTTTCATCTCAAAAGTGTGCGGAAGATCCTTTCAAGTGTAAGATGAGCGGATCAAGACTGCACTTGTCATTTCTGTGTCCTGACCTGAGTCTTTCCCAACCAACGTGGGAGCCGAGGTCCCCGCCACCCACACGTCTGCATCCCACAGGTACGGGATGGGCGGCAGCACCTGCACCCCTTCCTTCTTTAACCACCTGGTCCTGCGTCCCGAAGAAATCAGAGTCCTGGGCGTGGACCAGGCCTCGGTTCCCCCACCAAGAGCTAACAATGCCTTTTACCTTCATCTTCCAACTTGAGTAAGATACGCACAAAGAAATTAAAGGCTTTTGTTTGTTTCTTTCTGTAACCAAATAGCTCTGGATGTCTTTACTCTCTCCTCTCTCTTCTTAAGACTTTTACAAAAACATCCAAGACAGAACCCTTATTTTATGGATGAGAACATGGATGAGAACTGAGGAAATGTAAATTCAAGGAAGGTGAGGAAAACCCCACGGAATCCCCTAATGTGAATTTGCTGCCATCCCTTTCCCGAGCACACAAGGGGTGGGGTGTGGAGAACCTCTAAATCACTGTCTGTTTATATTTTTTTCTCCCACCTGGAGCAGTTACCATTCAGATCACATCAAGATCCAATTTTTTTTTTTTTTGAACTGTGGGAACAAGAGAACCCTGGGACCTTTTCTCTGTTTCCCTCACTCAGGAGTCTAGAAAGGAAGTTTCCAGAAGAAAGGTAAGAAGCTTTAAACTGATTTGAAATTGGGTTTGGGTGATATTTCTTAAAATCTCATGAATTGAGTCTAATTTAAAGAAAGGTTAGGTGGAAGGGCCTGTCCATGGGGCGTTACCCCATCCTAAATTGTTTATGAATTTAAATTTATCTGAATCTGACACTTAGCCATACAGTCTAAACTGAAATTACTTGAAATATTAATAATATAGACTATATTAACAATCCAGTTGAACTCTGAAAAGACACGGTTGTTTGACCAGCTGTCGCTGAGCCTGTGTGTTTATTGAAATTGAATTCTTTCTTAAATATTATAATTGCATGCTAAAATTCTCCATCGAGTTCCTTTTTAAGTCCCTGTCCAAAGACTCAAACTCCTGAATATCTTTCCTATTATGTTTGCTTTCTCTTAGTTTTCTGACGTTTGCTTTTGGCTCCAGCATGTTAAGTGTTTTTAAAATTAAATCCCAGACACTATACAAAAAGTCTAGAGCTGATCTGACATGACAGGCTGTGTTATCTTTCTCCCGATAGGAGTTTAGTTTGCTCCTGGCACCAGCTAAGGTCAGCACTGATCACCTTACTAAAGTCTCAGCTTGGACTGGTCCAAACGTGATCTTAAATCTCCACAAAGCCAGTTTGTTTATGGTCCTGGGTGCTGCCCTCCTGCATTGTCACAGGTTCTTACTCCATTTCCCCTCTCAGCCCCAGAGGCAGCCTGAACATCTGCGTACCTACCTATCGCAACTTTCCTGTCATTGGCTTCTCTGCTGCGTCCCCTTTAAAATTAGGAAATCTTCAAGGCAAACATATGGCACTCCATGCTAGCCCTGCATGTATATGCCTTTTTTCTGAGACCTTTATTCCTCAAATCCCCATAGTATAATAGCTTTCTGATGCCTTTTTGCATGAAAGAGTGTTCCCCAAAAACTCATACGTTGAAATCCTAACCTCCAAGATTACTATACTTGGACATAGGGTCTTTAAGAGGTAATAGAGCTTAAACGGGGTTATAGGATTGGGGCCCTAGTTCAACAGGATGACAGCCTATGAGAAGAGACAGAAATCTTCACACTGGGAGCAGAGCCTACACTGGACCCCGCCATGCGACACCTGATCTCACACTCCAGAACTGTGAGAAATAACTTCTGATGTTCAAGCCCCCACCGTGTGGCACTTTGTAATGGCAGCTCCAGCTGAGTCACAGACCTGAAGACAGGTGTCTCAGGATGTGTCTGCATGCCCTACCTTTCCGCCTTGTTCCTGGCAGGCTGGCTTGTTGCAAGCTTGTCTGCCATAAGAAACATCAATAGATGTCCTAGGCTGGAAATGAAACCAAGACGCTGGACCCCAGCCGCAGTCCCAAGGAAAGATAAGCCGCTGATCTCTTGGCCGGAGCTTAGTATTAAGGATCAGCAGGAATCATAAAATTACAAGATACTGAATACATGAACTGGATACACTAATTTTAAATATATATACCCCCCACACACATATAACTGTGTAAAATGTTTCACATATTTTCCCACCATGAGTGGAACTTACGGTTCCGTTTTCCAACTGTGGTGTGACAGGAACTGAGAGTCGCCTGAGAATGACCCCACATGACGTTAACACATCCGTGGCTGCAGCTTCTCGGATGCTGGCAGAAGACAGGAGACTCCTGTGTCAGAGATAAGAAGATGACTTGTTACAGCAATACTATTTTATTTTCTAAGTTGGATGCAGTTTTCTTAACCACTTAAATATGTAAAAATACTAGTAAAAGATTTCAATGCACATTATATTTAAACTGCTCTCAAAATAAATTTGATTTTCTTTCCTATTAACACAGATTGAGAAACGCTGACCAGTGAGACTCCTGTCCACATCCAAGAATTCGGCAGTTCAAATAAACGGCTTTTAGTTTTTATCAATCTTAAACAGCTTATGTGAACAAGAAACTTTGTTTTCAGTGAAAGAACAAAATACCAGATTAATAAAAACAGGACTCCCACATACAGCTATATTCATATTCTCTCTGAGCGACATAATGTGATTTTGTTATATGGAATATGTTTAATGGTCCCCATCCTACAATGAGAGGAAAAACACCCGTCATTTAGCCAACAAGTAATTTTGAAACATAAAGACAGAAAGCCAATTTGCCATGTTTTCTTCTACTGGAAGTAGCTTAACCAGGCGCATGGTTACCAGGTGACTGTTAATTTCAGGGCGTCACTAACGCTGTCTTCTGGTCTTCCCAAACTACTTTGGGTTTACAAATTGATTTTACACAGGGAAAGTAGAAGAGAAGGTCATGGCAGGAAACACTATAGCTGAAAAACAAAGGATGATCAATAAAGTGAATATTTACAAACATTGGCAAGTTTAAGAAAATACAGTAGAGATGGGTCAGAAAACCAGGGCTGGCAACATGAGGCCATTCAGCCGGGAGGCGCCGGGAGTTAGGAAGGAGGGTGGCTCCCAGGACCAGGCAGAGCAGGCTCTTAGAGGAAGAACAGCAGATCTGCACCAGGAAGCAGCACGAGACAAGACAAACCAGTCACTCCTTCCAAGTTTACCAGCGGGGCAAGTACAAACAGAGAGGACTTCCTTTCCCCTAGGGAACGTGTTTAGGGGAATTCTTCCTGGTGGAAACCATAAGTGGGAGAAAAACACCCTCTTCCAGCAATAACCTTCTCAATTCCATCATGTGGACATGAGTAATATGGCAGCTGAGGAAACCAGTGACCCAGCTAAGTGACTCCAAGGTCGGGGAAGGTTGGCTGGAGGACAGTGTCCAAAGTGACTGGAACCTGCCATGCTCAGGACAACTGGGGAAGTGCCCCAAACGCCACCAAGAAGGTTTTGCTTTAGGATCCGATGAGGTTTGAATGTGTAGCTATACTTTCAGGAAATGCTCATAAGAAAAGCCCTGCCCCAGGGTTTATAACAAACACATACCCAAATTTATTTAAATAGAAAGGGCACCATCTTCCTAATATATGATTATGACATTAGCACAACCAATTCACACATTAGTTGCGAGAGTCTCAGGAATGGTTCTGTCCGGGCTTTGTTGTTGAACTATCACCCATGAGTCAGATAAGTTTCAGTATAAGAGAAATCGAGAAGTAAAATTAAAAAAATAAAAATAAACTGAAAAAACACATAAACACTAGAGAGAAAATATTACTGGCTAATATTATTCTACATTAGATTCTAAAAACATAGTTAAGAATTTAAAGTAGCAAATTTTATAGAAAGTCTCATTGTTTTATGATAACCTGGCATTCTCTACCCAATGGACAATTGGATATTATTCTTCACAGCAGATGATACAGTAACTGGAATGGAAAAGAGTTGGAATATAAATATATTTCATGTTGATACTCCTTAAAGTAGTAACATTTTTTAAGAGAGATCTTCCCTGGGTATACTGGAGTAAAACATGCTGAGCTGTAGATTTCCTTTTGCTGTGGCAGGAGAAAATTTACTAAGCACTGTTGCTCCCTTTCCTGCTGGTTTCAGACCCACCTTCCTGCGAGCCACACCCCTTCTGCAGCTGGGCAGCCCTGCGTCGGCGAACCGTGGTGCGTCACAGTGTGTGCTCCATTGATTAACCATGAACACAGTAATGGAACTGCCATTGATCCCTGAAATGGCTCCTCGAAATCCGTCAGGACAACCGCAGGGTCACTACTCATGTTCCCTGTGAGGACAAGCTTCGAGCTACCTGACTGCTTACTAACTGCCGTCCCAATGAACTGCGTACCTTTCCATTACCAGTGGAACAACTGCCGCCACAGTGGAGTGTATGGAAAATAGATAAAGAGGCTTCCAAACCTCCACACTGCAGAAAGAACAGTTTGCAAGACAGAGTTTTGGGAATTTTCCATCTGGAAAATAACTCTCTTTGTACAACAGGAAGTATGAAGTGCACCATCTTGTGTTCTGAAGTTCCAGAATTTACCAATAAAAGATCTGGCTGCTTCTTAACATCACTTTTAAGTTCTCAAAGGCTTTTCATATTTCCATTACTTGCTTATTTCTCAAGGTTTTATAAAGTGTCCTTCCTAAGAATGAGGAGAATCATGAAGTCATGACTAAGCAATATCAAATGGCTATTTGAGTGCCACTAAAGGCAAGACTCTTAAGTCAGCTCTCCTGCCCAACCATCTTCCACCTATCCACCCATCCACTCATCCATCCTCCCATCCATCTACCCATGCACCTATCCACCCACCCACCTATCCACTCATTAACCCACCCATCCACCCATCCATCCTCCCATCTACCCATGCATCTATCCACGCACGCACCTATCCACCCATCCACCACCCACCCACCCATCCATCATCCATCCCACATCCATCCCATCCCACCCCACCCCAACACTCATCCACTTATCCACCATCATCCCTTATCCACCCATTCACTTATCCACTATCCCATCCACCCCATCCCATCTCATCCACTCATCCATCCCCTCGTCACCTCCATCCATCCATCCTCCCATCTACCCATGTACCCATCCCCCACTCACCCATACAACCACTCACCCATCCCACCCATCCACTCATCCACCAATTCCTCACTTATCACCCACCACCTTATCCACCATTCCACCCGATCTACACCATCTCATCTAATCGTCCCTCCTGTCCTCCATCCAGTTATCAATGATGTATATGTTTTTTTATTTCCTATTATTTCAATCAAATTCAGGGAATTTAACAACAGACAGCAAAACTTATGTGTGTCTAGAGAATTCAGGAAAAAAGGCCTCATCTGACACAAAATATTGTGCATCACATGTCTCTCTACCTCCAGGTGAAATTACTTTTGAGCATTGAGAGTAGAGTTGATTCCTATTGAAAGAGAAACATGTTTAAGAGTGAAGCCTTTGGGGCAAAGGAGGATTTGAATTTTTATGTTTTATAAGTAATACTCTAATCAGGTCTGGGCAGAGTGGGGAAGTCACATGAGTCAGTGCTGGACCCATGACAAACTGCAGGGTTCAGGTTAGGGTTAGGGTTAGGGTTGGGCCATTGTTCCCTGACAGCAATGAGAGTTAATAGACCTCCTCGCTCTGAAGCAGAAGCCAAAAGAGCCATTCCTGACACCACCACTGCCGGCCACATCACTGCTGAGAGTTTCAGGGCTGTTATTGCAAAAGAACAACAGAGATCTGTGTGCGTGATGCATCTTTGGTGCGGGGCTGCCATGCATCCATTCCTCCGTCCCTCCTGCGTCCCCAAGGGCACTTTCTTGCTTTCCTTAGAACTGAACGCTGGCCCAGCCACTGACCCAGCAGGTGCTGCATAGTGGATCATAGGTGTTTTTGTTTGGGAGGGTGGGTGGAGAGAGACATGTCCGGGTCCAAAGAGAGCTAGCGTGTTGAGGGAAGCTACTGGAAACAGCACAGACCCCAGCAGGTGACTGATGGGGCCGGGGCCAGGAGGGCCACCAGGTGAGGATGGAAAAGACATCTGGCAGGGCCATGGTGCAGGGTGTAAGCCACGCCAGCCATGGGCATGGAAATCTGGAGATCCCAGGCAGGGGAGCTTTAGGGTTGATTTTCTCATATCCCTCTGGGTGTGTGCTTGGAACCTGATAAACTCAGCAGGAGCAACAGGACCTGCTGTGTCTACAGCAGAGGTGGCCTTAATGCCTCTTCTTCCACGTCCAAAATGTCCTGGCACTCCTTCTAATAGATGATCAGATAGAACTCTGTTAGGTACCATGGCTCCTTACTATTGGTCTTTGGAGCGCACAGTAAGTGGTCCTTGGATAGGTTATGGCGCTGCTTACAAACTGACTTTGTGTAGGATTCTTCACAGGGGCAGGGCAGGCTCTGGGTCCCCTGGGACGCCTGTCTACACCCGCATCAGCAGAGGCTGAACAGCTAGGATGCCGATCCTTCTGGTTCCAAATAAAAATAACCAACAAGCGGGACTGGGGACACAGAAGTTGCACGT